CCCCCTCAAATGCGCATTCGGAGTTGCCTCAGGGAAATTTTTGGGCTACATGGTTAATCGAAGAAGCATTGAAGCCAACCCTGAAAATATCAAAGCTCTGATAGAAATGAGGTCCTCAGACACCCAAAGAGGTACAAAATGTCACTGGATGCATAACAGCTTTGAGTCAGTTCGTCTCAAAAGCAACAGTTAAGTGCCACAATTTCTTCAAAGTTCTAAAAGAAGGAAATAAATCCCAACAGATAGGGGAGTGTAAAATAGCCTTATGAGAGCTGAAGAAGTACTTGAGACAGGCTCCCCTCATTTCCAAGCCCAAAGCTGAACCTATACAACTGTACTTGACAGTAACCCTTGACTCTATTAGTTCAATGCTTATAACGGTAGAAGATGGTTACCAACTGCTTGTTTATTATATGAGTAAAGCACTTTTCACAGCAGAGACCCACTATCTAGACATGGAGAAGTTGACCCTCTCTCTAGTTGAGGTCATACTTCTAGGCACATACTTTACAAATGATAACAAACTTCCACCTTCAAGCAAGTACTATCAGGAAGAATAATGAAATGGGCCATAGAACTAAGCGAGTTCGATATGGTATTTAAGATAAGGACTGTTGTTAAACGACAAGCTTTGACAGATTTTATGGTAGAGTTTGCCCATATTCCAAAAATGGAAGAAAGAGATGGAACCTCACAAACCTCTTACCTGGAACTTATTTGTTGATGGCTCATCGAGAGACACTATATCTGGGGCATGAGTGGTCTTGGTCAGCCTATAAGGACATAAGCTCAATTGTGATATGATGTTTGATTTTAAGTCTACCAATAATGTAGTAGAGTACGAGGCCTTTCTAGCTGACCTCAGATTAGCTAGAGATGCAAGTGAAGATGATAGTTATCAATAGTGGCTCATGGATGACATAAATAATCATGCATATATTTGGGGGACTATTGTTATACCTCATCACCTAGGCTCCAATGGAAGCCACGACGCAATCCAAATGGAGACATCAAGGGAGATCTGACGAAGTCAACAAAAATCCAATTAGTCAAAATAAAAAGTCAAAGAAGAAGTTGATTTCATTGTTCCAAAGCCCTATCTCAAACCGAAGCTCTATTCGGTCAAATCACCTCTCTGTCTGATGCCCTATTTTAGGCTGGACCACTTGCTTCTTTTAAGGGATCTGCAGATAATTTTTAGGAATGATTGATATAATGCTTATATTAATAAATGTCAGGATTATCAGCCTAGGATGTAGATCGATTGACATGTTATCAATGAATTGATTGTATAACAAATGGAGTGATGTGAGACTTCGGCCCGAGAGATGAGGACACGTGGTTCTGGTCCACGGCTACCACGTCGGCCAGAACTCTATAAATAAACAACTCTTGTAATTCATTTGGAAATAATGCAAATCTTTATACTTGAAACTATATTCAATCTTCTCTTGCTCATTTATTTGCTTAAATTTAGATTACTTCTACTTTGATTGAGTTATTTATGATTGTTTGTTTATATGCAATCATCTTCGATATTGTCGGTACTTGAACATTTTTGTCTCGCATCGTAGAACATGTCTCACGTCCATAGATACTACCAATTTCTCTCGAATTTTGGGTAAAAACATGTTGAAATTTGCTTGCGTGGATGTGAGTAGGCTTCGACATTTGTTGTCCAAGTAACAATTGCGGAAAATGGGGTCAACAAAAGTCAAACTAATATATTAAAATTAAAATATCATAACAATAGTTCATCTTATCCTAGAAATTAAATAACTAGACTAACATATCGAAATTATAAAAAAAAATCATAATTTTGTATAACATCACCTGAAATTCTGAATTAATGAATGAAGGAAGATGAATCTTGATGCTCTTGAATTTCTTCAAAGCAAACTTAATAAATCTTCAAAAATCCTTTTGTTTCTTAGCCCACCAATCCCATGTTTAATCTGTAGTTGACGGGTTCTTGAACTTCGCCTTCGAAATCTTCTCACAATATATGATTTTGCCCCTCTTTTATGATGAAATATGGATGAATTTTTATGCATAATGGTGTACAAAAGGAGAGTTTTTTTTCAATGTTTTTTCCCCAAATTTTGTATTTATAAGGGTCGAATTTAGATCAAGAAATCGTAACAAAGTTGTTACCAATAAAAGTTTGAATAAAAAAAGGAAATTGACTCGTTAGCAGAAAATTTGGATATGAATATTTGTGGTGTATGTTTTCTTTTGGCTTGAAATGAAATGAATGATTTCCTTCGGATTTTCTCAATTATTTGTATAGAATTGTGTTAGAACATTCAATTGATTTCCGACTGCTCTCAAATAAATGGTAGTAAGAAATGTCATAATTTATGTTTAAAATTTATTATATTATTTTGGACGCACATATTCTATTGGTTTAAAATACTTTCGTGTCAAATATGATTATGAAATGATATCGGTAACACCTCAAAATTTATGTCAATAAAATTTTGGGCGTTACAGCTCAAAATTTATGTCAACCTGACTCTGGCATCAAATTAATTTGATGCATCATCAATTGAAACAATTGAGAATGAGAAACCAGTCTATAGAGAAGAAGAAATCAGAGGCATAAATAGCAGAAAAAGAAAATAATAGGAGGAAAACAAGAATAGTGGAAAAGAGAGCTTTGGCAACAAATCACAATTAATTTTAATCATTCATCGTCTATCTTTGTTTCTAATCCAAAACCATATAAATAATCAAATAAACAAACCTAAAATAAAGGGGCTTGGGCGAACCCATAATACAAGCCCAATAACAGAAAAACATAAATAAAAGTGAAAAATAGAAAATAAATCTCGATTGATGTCCACGTCACATTTAGCCACTAAAGATTGCACATTTACTACACAAGGATAGCTCACAGGCTGCCCCTCAATGTGCATGAAAGCACGATGGAGGATGGTTGACTGCTCATCAAGCTGGTACCTTATAATAGACTTAGCAAATAAAATTCATGTCAATAGACGTATTTTTTCTGAGAAACCATAACTTCCAAAATTTGACGTTTCAGATCTCTAAATAATGCTCTGATTGAGTAGTAGAGAAACTAACATCTTCAATATCAAGTCCACAAAGTTTCAGTCCCAATGGATACACAATCCTTGACATATTGCCCTCATAATATACTGAAACTATAACAATGCCATTGCATGATATTATCACCTTCGGTCCTTACATTTCCTAACCAAGTTCTCCTAAACACGGATTTCCAAAACTTAATCATAAGGCCCTCTGCTCATAACACGAACTAGTTGTCATTATGGCCAAATACTAAGCTAATATCAAGCCAAGCTTTCCCCTCATGTCCAATGGTCATCACGAACATTAGCATTATGAAGTTACGGACCATGATACTTACCCTCGCTCTAGGTGCATGAAAAGTGGCAAACCAGCATGCCTTGTGGAAAATTAAGAGAAAGTTCACAAAGCACAAGACATGTGACTTCATAGTAATTATCTCAGATTAAGGAATACTAAAATATCCCATTGTCACGCGATGAGGACCATGGTACGAGAGCTAGTAAGGAAAGACCGATGACAAAGACCTGTTGATAGTGTAACTAGGCATGTGACCGCATAGCTCCTTACCGAAACCAAGTTGAACGCTGAATGGCTTACGTGATCACAAGCCATAAACCTATGCAGAAGCATAGTTTCAACTGTACGTGTTTTTTTTTAAAAATTTCGCCTAAATTTATATTTTAGTTAAAACTCTTTTATGCTATCTTTTTGATCTTTTAGGTTCAATTTCGTTTTTAATTAGGGTTTTATGGATTTCCTATAAATATGATCATTCTTTTCATTGCAAAACAGGAAATTTGAAATATATTAATGCGAGGCATATTGCTTTCAACTTGTTCTTCATCTAATTAATTTTGAACTTATTAAAAATTAAATTCTTGTGACTTTCAACAATTCAAGGTTTGTAAGTTTTGTGATCACAGGGTCAAGTTATTGTTTGCGATTGTCTTGATTCTCTGGTTCAATAGTTTATCGGATCGAGATTTTCAAATTTTGCTTATTATATTTGATCTAATCTATCATGGGTGTCGTAGCTTCAATTGCTACATGAGTTCGCATCACCATGCGCCACGGGACCACTGCCATATAAACTAAAACTGTTAAGAAGTGCGAAACAGAGTAAAACAAGAATTCTCATCAATCAACAAGCAGCATGTGTATGAAAGGCGCTAGAATTAGAAATCATTACGAGTAGAGGAGCGACAACCTTTTAGAGGCCACAAAATGTCTACTATGCCCTTGACCTAATTGCACCTATAAGTACTACATGCAACATGAAGAAAATGGTAAGAATATCAAGCCCCTAACCATATTCCTACTGGCCTGTCCATTTTATTTCTCTTACACTATAAACTTTTCTGAATGGCTTGTCCATCTTGGAAAACTACCTTCGCAAGCTTATGGTGTTACTTTTGCAGGTTTAGAGAAAGGTAGATGGGAATGTGACAAGAATCTATTGATATCTTAGTCTTACGTGATTTTGAGATACTACCTAGAACTGTTATATACTCGATATGTTGACAATTAAGCGTTCTCAATGTCAAATTAATGTTGGTATTTAAATCATGTTCTTAAATGTATGCGAACAGTACAATCAATTGTCAACTTTGGGGCAGAGGAATTTCAAAGAACTGAAAAAAATTATTATGTCCCAATCCAAAAAAAAAAAAAACAAAATGAACCTGTTAATTAACTTTATTATATTTAGCAGATTCAATTTACATTCAGCATGAAGTATAAAATTGCATCATTTTTCGAACTTGGCAGACTTGTAATATTAAAATTCAAGAAAACCCTCTTTGTTTGGGTCCAATCGAGACGAGTCTTAATATGTATGCTTATTTTTAAAGAAAAAATAAAGGAAACTCTCCGCTGTTGCCAAGCTTCGACCGCCACTGCTCATCACTTGTAGCGATCTTATTCCATAACCCGAAACTCAAGTCTCAAGCTGCAGTGGGATATGTTGCATGCTTAGCAATGCCACACATGCCTTCTCTGGCAGCAATATCCCTTTGCAATCGTATATACCCTTTTTCTCCAAACTTTGGACCCCAAGAATTCTTGAATATCCAATACTTAGTCCCATCTTCACTTGTACCATATCCAACTGCGGTAACAGCATGCGTTAGCTTGGTTCCACACTTGCCTGTGTAAATCCCACCCTTGTAGAACTGAAACCCACTTGGGTCAAGTCCAACCGATACAGGCTGGTTTGCCACGGCCATTAACAATGCTGTTTCATTATTTGAAGGTACAAATTGGTGGCCTGTTATCCTTGCACCAAGGGAAGATGGTTTATTGGCTCTGCACGTTCCGTTTGTAGCCTGGTATGGATAGTCTGCGTCCGACTCGAGGCCCTGATTCCGGGAAACGAAATCGAAGGCGTTCTCCATCCAGCCACCTTGGCAGTTATCTGTAGTATTTATGCAGTCTAGTATTTGTTGCTTAGATAATGAAACTAAATTTCCAGTTTTGATTTTATTAATTCCTTCCAGAGCAGCCACTGCTGAAAAAGCCCAGCAACTTCCTGTGTTATTGTCGTCATAAAATATGTTTAATTAGTAAATAATAAGGGTGTCTTTTGGTAAGTTGGACTCAATGACACTAGGCAACATTATGGATGAAAATGAAGTTAAACATAGGTTCAGTGTGAGCCGGACCACACTAGTCACACACCCGGTTTGTTGAGCCCGGTAAGACCTGACCCTTCGGGTGGGCTAGCATTATGGCATACAGTGTGGCGCAACACATTTTTACAACAGTTGTCTAATCTTATCGAGTATTATGATCAAATGTGCACATGTATATAAATTGGATTAGACAGCTAACCACATCCTCCTTGCTTCTCGACTGGGGTAACGGCTCTTCTGTCTCTCCAATCAAGATTAGGTGGTACTGCATTCACATTTTTGTACATGAACGAGGTGGATGATGATCTCTTAGAGGACGGTATTGACAATCCAGTATACTTTGCAAGGAATTCTTCGTTAGTTAAGTCTGCAAATTCATTGACTCCGAGCTCGTATTTGTTCTTACCAGCTTTGTTGAACTTCTCTATGAACTCTACATTATCTTTGAACACCTTAAATCGTTTCAATTTCTCTTCATTACTCTTGTAAGTACGTTTACGTTGAGCCATCCATTGCTCATGTTGTATTGACATTTTATCATAAGATAAGCAAAATGTCGCCTGGTAAGACAAAGCTGCAAAAATAAATAGAAAAACGAGATAACAATTTTGTCGAAGAGATGCCATGCCATTAATGGTATAGAAAATATTGAGGGATAATGTAAACAAAGGATGCCTTCCCTTTAAAAACTAGATCAATATATATAGAGTTTAGAGTTCAAATGCTGGCGTGGAGCTTACAATTCTATTTTTATTTGTTCCAAATTATAGGCTACTTCCCTTGTTAAATATAAAGTTGATTTCTCAATTTTCTAATATGCCCTTATTTATAAAATCAAATTTTGGGGATAAATGTATTTTGGAATAGTGATTTTTTAATAATGTGTGATTAAAAAAGAATGAAATTTTTTGAATTTACATGTAGTATTATTTTATTGGAGAATGTGTGGTTAAAAAGAAATGAATGAATTTTGAATAAAGTAGAGCCCAAACAAGAGCTTAATTAATGTGTCTAGTTATCAATAAATATGAGCTACTTCGATTTTAATTATTATTTAATGTAGGGATATATATTAGGAAAAATATAAGTAAAATTTATATTTTTAACTATATTAATTATGTTTTCTTAATATGTGTGAAAGGGAAACAATCATATTTTTATGAGACGGACGGAGTATTTGGTTTGACAGTAGAAAGTCGTTGCCAACTCCTTAACCTTGATGGTGCGTTCATTTGTATATGGGAACAATATATATTTATTAAGGTTAGAAGATATAATTTCAAATTAACAAACATATTTTAAAACTTAAAAAATCATGTCACACTTAATTTTGTTAATTAAAATAGATAACTAGATATATTAAAGTCAAAGTACTACAATTTATGCTCACAATTACTCACTAATCACAATCATAAAATGTTATAGTCACAAATCACAAATTTCATAAGTCACAAGTTATTTATTTGTCACAAATCATAAATTTTAAAGTTTAAATTTATTTATTGGTCCCAAATTATCAAATTAATAGTTTACATATTATTTTGCGGTCGCAAATCACAAATTTATAAGTCAAAATTTATTTATCGATCTCAAATTATCAAATTAATATGTCACTTATCACAACTAATTTTTTTTATAAATTACAACTTATTTTACGATCACAAATTATCAAATTAATTGATCACAAGTTATTTTTTGACCATCAGTTATTTTTCGATCACAATTAACAAATTAATTAGTCACAACTTTTTTGATCACAAATTATTAATTAGTCACAAATTACAATTAATCTTCCCCAACCACCACCGGTACTACCACCACCACTAATCAACAACCACTACACCACCACCACTTCAACTCCAACCACATAGGCACAACCATCATCCCAACACCACCACCGCTTGTATCACCTACTGCACCAGAACCAGCACCAACATCATCATCGCACTCACCACTATACGCACAAATCAACACCACACCACCACATATTTCACAACCTTTTTCTGTTACAAACACAGATCACCACCACGCAGCGGTGCAGCACCGCTCGTAGAGTCGTAATATTATAATTTTCAAATCAAATACTTAGATTTTCATTACTATTTTTGTACATAATATTATCTTTTGGTTCCAATATTGGTCTTTCGAAAAGGTTTTCTAAATTCCAATTTAATCCTGCATTTGCTTCTGAAGAGAATTTCATTGCTATGATGACTTTTATGGCTTTTTGTCCTAAAAAAGTAATTATTTGATTATTTTCTAATTTATAATTGGTAGTATTGTTTCCACTAAGTCTTCCTATGAATCATGTACAAATTGACAAATTGTCTCCATCTCTTTTCATTTGACATCCTTTACTTTTTATTCTTATTTTAATGTCTCTATAATTTTTTTTTTTTTTTTTTGTCTTAACTAAATAATCTGGTGTAAAGTATAGTATTCCTTCTTTATTACTTACGTCTAATTCCATGCTTCCTAATAGTCCTTCAATGTCTGTGTAAATTTGATATCATATAAATATATTAATACTTTGTCTCCTAAATCTTCTCTATGATATCCTTTTACTCCTACTATTATTAATCCTAAATGAGTTTGTTCAAGATTTTTTATTAACAATTTTTATATAAGATTCATTTTCTACTAAATTAAGGGATATAAATTGACCTTCATGCGTACAAGAAACATATTATTCGCCATAATGTTGATATATTAAGGATTTGCTAAAAATATTTCCCTTTTTATATATGTCTAAAGCTCTTAATAGTCTTAATTTATTTTGTCTAAAAATTTCTGCATGTTCTTCCATATATATTAAGAATTCTAATCTTTTATCGGATTCCATTTTTTACTTAATTTTCTTAGTAAAAGATTACCTACTAGTCTACTACTAGCTGCAATTTGCTTTGCTTTATTCATTATGTATAAATCCACTTAGTCTTCTTAAATTTATTACTTTCTTTGACTTTTCCTAAATCTATTTTTTCTAGCTTATTAATTAAATTTTCTAAATCTTGTCTAGTATCTATTGACTTTTCTTTTTCTAATGTATTAATTCTGCTTTGTAATTTCTCTAAGTTGGGACCAAAGTCTATGTCACCTATATTATAAAATTTCTTTTTTGATATTTCATTATTTTGGTTTTTAATTTATTCTAAGTTATCTTCTCAAGTTTTTGTATTTTTATTTATACTTTCTAATAAAGTTTCTACCTTTTTATTTGAATTTTTTTTTCCTTCTAGATTTTCTCCTAAATTTATGAGTAAACCTACAACACTAACTAATTTCCTATCTTCAAAATGTAAAGGATGTTTAAAATTTTTATCAAAGTTACAAACCAAAGAAACAATATGTAAATTATCTTTTCTTTTAAAATGTCCTAGAAGTTTTAAACTTAAATAGTTGTTATGAAAATAGAGAAAAAGAGAAGAGAATAGGGATACATGTGGTAATTATAATGAGAACCAAACCCCTATATTTATAGGAAAGGAATAGGGATACATGTGGTAATTATATCTAGAGCTGCAGGGGTACAAGTGTCATTCACATTAAACCCTAATTTACTTTTCTTTTAC